GTATTAGTTGTTAAAATATTGAACTATTTCTATGTTGGTTAGTAAACAGCTGCTGTCTTGTGCTTGCTAAGTGGCATCCCACTGCTGTTTTCCCTGGGACTGCCTCAGCTCTCTAGGATCCACTGATCAAAAGCTGAAAACCTGGCTCCTGCTCCAGTGCTGAGTTCAGGGTCCATTCTGATTGGTCGGTGCCTGTAGTGTCTGGTTGTTAACTATTTGAAGCATCATCCCTCGGGAGTTTCAGGGACCACTGCAGAAGACAGATTCAGAGGATGGGTTCTGGAGAAGGAAGAAGAGGAATTAGTGCATGGACCATTTTATGCTTGAGATGCTCTTCCTCAATAGCTGAAAAAAAAAATTCAGTATGTGTATCTTTGCCTACATCTCTGCCATCTCTTTATCTCTATCTCTATCATTTTTTGCATATGAAGTGTCAGTTAATCCCAACCTTTGCTCTTCCAATTGCAAGCAATATGACCTCAGACTGAAAATCAATGTCAGTCATTGGTTCTCAACCCTGTGTACACATTAGAATCACTGTCGGTAGCTTTAACTACAAAATACAGATGCTTGAACTCCATCTACAGACATTCTGATTCTGTAGATCTGACATGAGGTCCAATCATCAGAGTTTCTTTTTCAGAATCACTCCTCAGATGATTTTAAGGGGCCGTTGTACTACCAACAAACTTCCTAAGCTTCAGCTTTCTCATGTAATAAAAATGAGTACGGTGTTGAACTCTGCTCAGTGTTACGTGGCAGCCTGGATGGGAGGGGAGTTTGAGGGAGAATGGATACATGTATACATGTGGCTGCGTGCCTTTGCTGTCCACCTGAAACTATCACAATAGTGTTAATCGACTCTACTCCAGTATGAAATAAAAAGTAAAAAAAATGAGTACCAATGCTTGTTTTGTGAGATTAAATGAAAAAAGGTATGTAAGGCTCTTTAGCAGAGAGTGTGGCACATAATCTGTTAGTTCCATTAATAATTAATATTCAGTACTTTAAAAAGCAGTTTTTATTGTATTATTTTATAAATAATTACATTGGTAATAAGTAAATTCATCCTAGTTATAAACAAATAACAGAGTAAAAAGTGATGAAAGGTATCCTTACTCCCTGTGTGCACAAAGGTGGACATTGCCACATTCCTATGTGCGTCCTTCCAGAAATTTACTTCCGCTTTTGTTTATGTGCCTTTAAAGACATTGTTGTTATTCAGTCGCTTTTTGTGGCCCCATGAACTGCAGCATGCCAGGCTTCTCTGTCCTTCACTATCTCCAGGAGTTTAGTCTTTAATAATGTAAATAGGGCCATTTATACTGTTCGATGACTTCTTTCTTTTTGCTTAGCAGTAGGTCTATATACCTTGCAGGTCTCTCCACGTCAGTAAGTAGGCATCTACTCAGTCATTTTAACAATTGCATCTCTCATATGAATAATGGATGCACCATAACTTAACCTTTTCCCATATTTATGGGCTAATATTTTAGAGAGTTTCTAGATTTTCACTCCAAACAAATCTGCAGTGAATACTTTTGTCTACACATCTCTGCATAGAGGTGAGTTCTCTTTAGATCATCCCTATAACTATATCACTGGGTCGAAGATGATTGCATAAAATGATGTTAAATTCTGCTGAATAGCTCTCCCAAAAGCTGTGCCAATTACATTCCTAATGAAGAATGAGAGTGCAGGGGACTCCCCTGGTTGTCCAGCGACTGAGACTCTGGGCTCCCAATGCAGGGGGCCTGGTTCGATCCCTGGTCAGGGAACTAGAGCCTGCATGCTGCAGTTAAGAGTCCTGCATGCCTCAGTGAAGATCAAGATCCTGCGTGCTGCAGTTAAGACCCAGGGCAGCCAAATAAATATTTTTAAAAAGAAGAATGAGAGTGTTGATTTTTCCATCCATTTCATCTCCCACATTTTTTTAAGGGAGTTATTTTTATTTTTAGGAATGCACAGCCCATAGTTGGGTAGCAGGACATAGAAACAAAGAGTCTCTGTCTTTTGCATTTCCCTGATGAATAATGATGTTGAGCACTTTTCCCAGTGTTTATTGAATTATGATGTTTCTGTTCAAGTGTTTCACTCTTTAAAAAAGTAAAACTTTGAGTCTTTTGAATTTCAGTCTATGGTTCATTTAAAATTCATGTTTGTGTATAAAGCAGACAGAGGGAGGAAGTTCTTTTTATTTTTTTCCTAATTATTCAGCATCATTTGTTAAAAATTCTTCTCTTCATTGCATTGACTTGACACCTTTGTTTAAAATAAGTGGATTGAGTAGGTGTGAGTCTTCTTGCTTTTATTCTGTTCCACTGATCTATTTCCCTATCCTGACTTTGAGTCTTTGTGTTTTAATTGGAGATTATTGATGTACTTTGTTGACTGCCTACTATATATTCTCATTTCTTTAATTAGGCCCAAACTTTCTTGGTAACAGGAAAGGATACAAAAAGCAGATAAGGCAGATGACTAACCACTAGTAAAGTAGTTCACAAAGCCATCAGGAGAATGAGCCTGCTTATTGTTATTGGGGGTTTCCTTCTACTAATCAGTGGTCACCAGATAAAAGGATTAGGCAACATGGATTTGCCAACATTTTCTGCCTTAGTTCTGACCATGTCAGTGAAAGAACAGGGCTGCAGTAGCTAAAAATGTCTGGGGCTCATAGCTTCAGGCCAGCTTCCTTGAGTTTATATCCCAAGCCCATCTCTCTCTCTCTCTTAATCAAGATCTTTGCTAATTGCTCATAAACCTCCCAAACCACTCACCAGACCTTCTGCTAAAGTGGAACTGTCTAGATCATATGCTGTTCTACTGGTAATTACTGCTTATTCTGTCCATGTCATTGGCATGTGACTTTTCTAATTATAATATCATTATCAAGAAAAGGAGACCCTCTGTTTTAGTTTGCCAGGACTGCCATAACTACCACACCCTGGGTGCCCTGAACAACAGAGGTTTATTTGCTTATGGTTCTGGAGCCTAGAAGTCTGAGATCAAGGTGTCCATAGGATTGGTTTCCTTCTGGACCTGTCTCCTTGACTGTAGATACCTGTTTTTTCCCTGTCTTCACGTGATCTTTCATGTGTATCTGTCTCTTAATCCCTATTCTTAGAAGAATACCAGTCATACTGGATCAAGACACACCCTTATGACCTCATTTTAACTTAATCACCTCTTAAAACACCCTATCTTGAAATACAGTCACATTCTGAAGTAATAGGGGTTAGGACTTGAACATATGATTTGGTGGTGGGAGGGGGACACAATTCAGCCCATAACACTCTCTGGGTAGTCAGACATAGCCTTGGCCCCATTCAGTCACAGCAGGACCCCTGGCTGAACCTGGCTAAACTCAGCTGTGGTTTGGGCTCACCTCATTTTTGTGGTCCTAAGAATATACAACTCTCTGTTCTATCTTCTTCTCAATTCTTTTTCTCTTAAGGTCCTCCCTGAATTCATGATTTTAATTTTATTACTATATATAACATAGCCAAAGCTTTTGTCGATTTACTTTTTAAATTAATATGTTTCTGTCAATTAATACAATAGATTTACCTTCTGATCCATTTGCCTTTCAAGTTTTGTATCTTTTTTCCCCATCATACTTTATGTTTTCTGTTTACAATTCTCCTTTGTCTCTCTTCCCTATTCTGCTGTATATTATTGCATTGATTGAGTTTCTTTGGCTCATTTTTTTCCATATTGCGTCTTTAGAAGTTATAGATCCTATTCTATCCTTCAGTGGCTGCCCTAATATTTTAACACATTAAAAAATCATCACTAAATTAGAGCACAAATGTGGGGGGGGGGAAAGCTAAGCAATATAGAAAGGAGGCATAACATGAAAAGCAAGACTTTTCCAGACCCCTGACTCCATTCCTCTGCATAATCTACTTTTGAACCATTTCTCTTTTGAATTATTATGCTTGTTACTTTCATAGCAAATAATTTTTTATACTTTTACTGTTTTTATTTGTTATATACAGACAGTATTTATTGAAGCTCTATTTTGAAAGTTAAGGGATAGTCTTACTTACATATATACAATGGAATACTACCCAGCCATTAAAAAGAATGAAATAATGCCATTTGCAGCAATATGAGTGAATCTGGAAATTATCATACTAAGTGAAGTAAATCAGACAAGATAAAGACAAATATATGATATGGCTTATATGTGGTACTTTAAAAAATGATACAAATGATTGTATTTATGAAACAGAAACAGACTCACAGGCAAAACAAATTTATGGTTATGAAAGGGGAAAGGTTGCAGAGAAGGACAGATTGGGAGTTTGGGGCTGACATATATACTACTATATTTAAATAGATAACCAACAAGGACCTACAGGGAACTCTGTTCAATATTCTGTAATAACCTAAATGGGAAAAAAATTGGAAAAGATTAGATATCTGTAGATGTGTAACTGAATCACTTTTCTATACACCTGAAACTAACACAACACTGTGTTAATAAATCAATTATATAGACCAATATAAAATAAAAACTAAAAAAGTAAAATAGCTCCAGGTTAAGAAACAAAAGAAATGCCATAGTATCTTTGTGAAACCAGTGATAATACTGTCAAACCTATGGAAAATTTCTTTAGAACAAGGAATAAAGAGAATAAATCTTTGTCAACAGGCCCCCCCCCCCAAATCTTACTTAAAAGTCCCCACCTCCAAATTTAACTAGCTACTTTATTATTTATAGTTCTAGCAATTATTCCTCTAAAGTGAATATGCTCTACAAACTTTAATTTATTGTTCCAATAGCTGTCTTCAGATAATATCTTCTGATACTATCAAAGATGTAGAAATTAGTACTCCTACATTTTTTGCTTTCCTCTGCCTCCCAACTTCTGTGCATTGCCACTTTCATAATATTTACATTTTGCTAATAGATTTAGCACAGAAATTGAAAATGAATAAATACATACATTATTATGATATTATAAATATGATAATGTAAATATCTTTCATTCCAGAGCTAAGTACTATGATTGGACCTGTCGAAAGGAAAATATAATCTTATGTTGCTAAACATGTATGCTTGAAGGTAAGTGTTCCATGGTATCAAAATAAATTGGATTATCTTTTCTTTGAATCCATAAACTGCTCAAAAATCACTTCACACTTAGGTTGGCTTTATAGTTAGAACCTAACTTCCTTATATAGCTTTCTTTGGGAGAAAGTGGTTCTGGAATTTCTAATTGCCTTTCTTTTTATTTTTCTCTCTGTAGCTCAAGAAGCTTGTCTTTATACATAATGATATTTCTAACAGATGTCCAACTCCACTCTGCTGAGTATGGTCTTTTTTTACAAAGACATCTCCAGCTCCCCCAGAGCCCTCTGACTTCCACCTTGGATTTAAACTAGTTGTTTTTCAACCTGCTACACAAATGTCTAGGGGTCTCCCTTTATGTATTACTAGGTAAGAGCCATTGTATCTTAGACACTATGTTTTCCTCTTTTTTTGGAAAAAATGAGGGCTTTTTTTTGGTTTTTAAAAGAATGAGAGTCTATTTTCTGAATCCTTCAATGTCTGAAAAATAACTTTATAACATTTTATGCATAGTTTGGCTACTCATAGGTTTACATTTCCTTACTGTGGGGAAAGTTTTCCCTTATTATTTCTTTTATTATTTTATCCCCATCCATTTTCTGTGTTCCCTTTTTCTGAGCTACTGACAGACAAATGGCAGAAATTCTGTATTTATTCTATTCCCTACTCCCCTGAACTTTATTTACAGAAGACTTTTAATCTTTTTGTTCTTTTATGTTCATTCTGGGAGTCTTTTAGTTTGATCATAAATTCAGACTTTTAGCTCCGTGATTTTGTGCTGTCTATATATTGTCAAATTATAGTGAATATATTTTATAAATTTCTAATTTTTAATTATTTAAACTTTAAATAGTTTTAATAATTATTTTTCTTAGCAGGAGTTTTAAATATGATTTTTAAAAATAATTTTATTTATTTATTTTCGGCTGTGCTGGGTCTTCATTGCTGTGGGGGTTTTTCTCTAGTTGTTGCAGCTGGGGACTGCTCTCTAGTTGTGGTGCTTGGGCTTCTCATTGCAGTGGCTTCTCTCTTTGCAGAGGCCTGCAGACTTCAGTAGTTGTGGGTCCTGGGCTCTAGAACACTGGGTCAATAGCTGTGGCTCACAGGCTTAGTTGCTCCATGGATGTGGAATTTTCCCAACCTAGGGATTGAAGCCGTGTCTCCTGCATTGGCAAGTGGATTCTTTACCACGGAGCCACCAGGGAAGCCCTCTAATGTGGTTTTAATGTGTTTTTAATGTGATTTCTTATTGAATATTTCTGAAACTATTCATTATAGAATTTAACATTTTCTTTTGCCTCTCCAACTATCATATTTTTTAGGGGTTAATTTTCTCTTTCATGGGTTTGAGGCTCTTTTATGGCATTAGTTTTCTTCATAGGTTGGACTAGAGCTAAAAGTCTGGACTCCACACATAATTTTCTCTCAAAACTTCATAGACATTGCTTCTCTGTCTTCTGATATTCAGTGTTGTTAAGAAGTCTGATATTATGATCATTTTTTCTTATATGGGTAACTGGTTTACATTTTTTAAATTTCTCGGAGCTCCTGGGTTATTCTCTTTGTCAACTGAAAGGTAAGCACACCTTCAGGAGTCACAACAAATATTTGGGAAATAATGTTATTAAAAAGTAGGCAACAAATTGAGTAAACTGAAAAAACTAACACGTAAGAAATAGGAAAACAGAAAATATGGGATAGAAAGACTTTAAAATACAAATTCATATTTTAAGAGTTACTGGACAAAAAATAGCATTCACAAAACATTTTATAGGATGATATGAAAAAGAAGCACTAAAGATCTTGAAACGAGCACACTGACATTAAAAAATTCCCTCAAGATAGACTAAACCAGTGAAAAGACACCACTGAAAACAAATCTGTGATGGTTTGTCCCAACGTGCAGTACAAATGGGCAACAAAAAGGAAAGGAAAGAAATTATGAGATAAAAGTTAATATGGAGGATAAATCTAAAAGTCCCTGCAAAGCAATTTAACCAATGATTTCAAATTTGTGAGGCAAAGCAGTTTTGAACTCAGACTTACATTCAGCTGAATTAGCATCACATGTGAGGTTCTCATCCAGCTGGAGAAGGAATGAGAGATTCTAATCTGTGAACTTGGGATTTCTTGCTGACTTGTTGAAAAGATCTGTTTTTATACCTGTGGCATCCTTCTTCAGTGCATATTTTGGGCTCTAGTTTTCTCTCCTCTTTCTTTCTCTCTCTCTCTCTCTTTTTTTTTTTTTACATAAAAAGACCTACCCAATAGTCTTTTTATGTTTTAGAAACTGAACTTTTCAACTTGTATGTTTTTTTTTAATAACAATTCTGAAACTGTTTTATGTGTATCCCAAAGAAATACATTGTGAAAAATGAGAGACAAGCTTCTCACTGCCAGAAAAATGGAGGGGGGGGGGGCGGCGGGAAATGTGGGAAAAGGAAAGGCTTGAATAAATCCAGTGGTGTTGGATTGGAACTGGACATATCCACGTGAATTCATGGTTTTAAATATGAGTGGAAAAATACAGAAATAGATTTATTAACGTATTATTTATGTAAATAGTATTATGTATATGTGTACATGTCTTTCTTTTCTATCTAATGTCTGATATGGTCTTGTAGCAGTGACAATCCAGTAATAATTACACCTAATACTCATATCTTGGTATTTAAATCCCATTCTCCAATAAAAAGAGTCAAGATGTCTTGGAGAAATGTCTGACTCCAAGGCAAAGGTAGGGAAAGTACAGTATGAACTTGGAATATCTTATACTAGCAACCAAGGGAAGTGCTCAGATGAGGAGGATGGGGGAAAAGGACTCAGGAGTCAGTTTTAAGAGTCTCCCACTGACCAAATCTGGGACAGTTTGAACAACAAAATAAATGACGATAGCACTGGATGATGAATAAAGTAAGAATCCATGAGTCCATATAGATGTTACTATATGGATAAATAAATAAATGGTGAGGAGGGAAACATTTTGCTTACAGTAGAATTCCAATTAGTAAATATATTAATAGAAGCCATGAGGAAACTAGAAAAATCACCATTTGGCAATAACCAGAGCAATAATTTTTTTAGGTAAGAGTCATCAATGAATGTTAAAACTGGTAAATACATGCATGATGAGAAACAGGCTAGTTATATCATCTTGGAGTATCTCCCAAAAGGAAATTTATTGTTTACAAAAGGAAAAATATTAACTTTATGGTAGAAAAACCTGGCTGCCATCACCTTAGCCCAATGATCATATGTCTTTCTTTCTGCACTGTAATGTAAGTCCCCAAGTACAGGGATTTATTTCTGTTTTATTCACTTCTGTACCTTGAACACCTAGAGTAGTGCTAAGCACATAGTAGGTGCTCAACAAGTAGTTTTTGACTGAATATCATATTCATGTTTTTGCCTGTATTTGTAAGCTCAACTTCATCAGCTGTATTGCTTGCAACTTCTATATCCTTATGAATGTCTTATCTACTTGATCTGTCATGGGTTGAGAGAATTGAATGAACATTTACACTGTGTTTTTGTCTAATTCTTATAGTTTCTGCTGTTTTTGCTATAAACACTCTGAAGACATGCTATTTGGTATATAAACATTTATGATGGTTAGATATTCATGTGGGTTGTACTTTTGTCATCATTAACATAAACCTCTTTGCTTAGTTTAATACTTTCTTCTTTAAATCAAATCTTTCAATTACAGTGTAGTTCATGCTTTCTTTTTTCATCTGTATTTTATTTTTTAGCGCTCTAACTCATTGCCTATTCATTTATTTAATCCAATCAATTTTCCTAAGATTCTACCCTCGTTTACTTTGTTACCCAGTCAAGAGAAACATGACTATTTTGAGACTGTTCTGTTAGTTCTAACAAAACAATTTTCTCTTTACTTCTCCATCTGTCAAGCTATCATTTCACCTTGAAATGTGAAATGTTCTTCAGTTTCCCAGGTAGAGCTAGTTTCTGTCTCCAGTGTCTACATACAATATTTTGTATTTCTAGAATAGCCTTTAGCATGTTTTTCAAATTATGTTTTAATGATGGCTTTGATAAGGAGATTTCATTCTCTCAGGTTTGAACTTTCCAAGGCCAAGGATGTTACAGCAGTTGGTATATTGGCTTCTCCTTGTGTATCACTTCAGTTTTCACCTTAAGGTACAGTTAACGCAGCACTTGTTTTTTTTCACATCCCCTGAAAGTAAGTCACACTTCCCGAAGCATTAGTAGGCAGTACAGATCCTACTGGAGATTTTGTCAGGAAGCGATGGAGAGTTTTACATGACACTCCACACAGCACACGACTTCCAAAAAACCCTTCTGCAAAGTGTCTCCTAGCTTGTTTCTCCTTGGCTAAAGTTTCCAGTCTGTCAGGCTTCAACTACCTTCTTTCCCTCACTGTTTCTGAGAATTGTCCTCTTTTTCCAGGGCAGGAAAACATAACCTTTCACCCTTTAATTTTGTGGTCTGTGACCTAAGTCTGATGCCTGGTTCTTCAGGGCCTTCATAACTGACACCCCAAGCCTAGGGTTTGGAGAAACAGAAACCCTTTCTCTCAAATGATTTTCTCTGCTGTGAGTTTCAAAAGCCTGTTTTTAAAACTAAGAACGTGAGCACCCGTGCTTTTCTTTCTCTTTATGTCTCTGTAACTCTACCCTGAGGGCATGGGTCTTAGAAGCTTTGCTACTTCCTGGGTGGGGAAGATGGATAGAGAAATAGGAGATGCTCTGGAGTGAAACGGAGATTAAAGTTAGAAAATGCTCCTTAACAGGTACAGAGTGATGTGGGCCGCAGCGTAGGGTCACGGCCTTCTCCTGCCTCTCCATCCTTCTGTCAAAAGCTACAAAACCTTCATATCAGAAACCAGAGACTCACTATGGGCCAGTGATGGGACTTAGAGCAAGGCAGAAAGAGACCATGAGAAGGAGGCTTGGTTGGTATGATGACAAGTCACAACTTTTTATCCTGAAAAAAGGATTTTTATTTTCTGTTTCATGTTTGAGACTGTGAACAAATCATCTCCCCTTTGCTGCCCTTCAGCTGTGCTGGAGTGGGCTTGGAGGATTGTGACTCTCACCCTGGTTTCCTATGCACTGGCTAATGGGACTGAGTGCCCGTTTTAAAGCCTCCTGAAGCCTCAGTCCTCTCCCCTGCAAAATGGGCTACCAAGGCCCCACTGCTTGCCCTGCACGGGTTTGTGGAGGACCAAATGAGCAAGTTGACAATTAAGTAATTGAGTCCTTTCAAAAGCGTAATACATGATGGAAAATGAATGTGCAAAGCTTTGGGAGACCTGTTCTTGTATTTTGTCTTTCAAGGGCTTCCTGAGACTTCAAACTTGCAGGCAAGGAAGATGGCATTCTGACAATGGTTTATCTGCCTTCTGGGACAATGACTTGGCTGCTTTAGGGGATACTCGTGGGTGCACATCCAAAAGTGAACAGCAGAGGGCAGCCTGTGCTCAACAATGATAATAATCTGCAGGCTCCAGGAAGCTCAAGGATGTGGCGGCCAGGAATTAGGATAAAATGCACAGAGTCCACTACTATTGGAATCTTGGAGAGCAGCTCAGTATTGTCATTTGCTTTTGCTGTCTGTATTTCTTTAAAATTATGATTTTGAAAGGAACACGCATTTGTTTTTAAAAGGTTAGAAAGGTGCAAGAGTTTACAAGAAACTCCTTGTAGTGGCCCTGGACAGCCTGCTCCCTGTTTCATCTCTGCCTTCAGATCCTGTACTCTCCCCGGGCTCCAGCCCTCCCTCGGGAGCCCGTCTTTGCTTTGCTGTTCCCTCTCCCAGTATGACTCTTGCCCAAGATTTCAGTGAGGCTCATTTGCTCACCTTCTTCACATCCCTTCTTCTTCAAAAAGAATTTTATTTATTTATTTTTGGCTGTGCCTGCTCTTCCTGGCTTGGCAGGCTTTTCTCTAGTTGTGGCGAGCAAAGTATGACTCTTGCCCAAGATTTCAGTGAGGCTCGTTTGCTCACCTTCTTCACATCCCTTCTTCTTCAAAAAGAATTTTATTTATTTATTTTTGGCTGTGCCTGCTCTTCCTGGCTTGGCAGGCTTTTCTCTAGTTGTGGCGAGCAGGCGCTACTCTCTGGTTGCAATCTGTGGGCTTCTTATTGTGGTGGCTTCTTTTGTTACGGAACACAGGCTTGAGGGCACTCAGGCTTCGCTAGTCTTCATTCAGAAGCATGTGGCTTGGGAGGGGGGATCGGGATGGGGAACACATGTAAATCCATGGCTGATTCACGTCAATGTATGGCAAAAACCACTACAACATTGTAAAGTAATTAGCCTCCAACTAATAAAAATAAAAAATTAAAAAAGAAGCCCGTGGCTTTCATTCAGGAGCATGCAGTCTTCATTCTGGAGCATGTGGTCTCCGTGTTTTCGGCTCTCAGGCTCTAGAGCACAGGCTCAGTAGTTGTAGCACATGAACTTACTTGCTCTGTGGCACGTGGGGTCCTCCCGGATCAGGGACTGAACCTGTATCTCCTGCGTTGGCAGGCAGACTCTTTACCAATTGAGCCACCAGAGAAGCCCCATTGCATCCCTTCTTAACACTCCCTATCCTCATTTAAATGGTGCCTGGAACACACAGTGTTATAAATTTTTTTTTTCCTTCACTAATCAGATAGGTGAAAAGTAGTCTCTTGTTTGCTCAAAGGATTGAAAAGACATCCCTAATAAAAGGCAGAGCCTGACCCCTGGCTTGCAGAGCCTGCTCACTCTGGGCAGGGTAACAAGCCCTGTCCTTGACTCTGGGCATGGTCCTGTGACTTGCTTTGACCAAAGGGGTATTATTGGATATGATGCAAGCAGAGGCTTAGCACAGGCTCAGTGCTTGCTGTCTTGTACTTTTCTATTTACCATAAAAGCACGCCCAGGCTAGAGTGCTAGGGAATGAGAGACTTTTGGAGCAAAGCAGAGCCCAGGCACCTGGCAGAGGCTAAGCCAGATAGCTGATAGCCAGTTGACATCCCCATGAGCAAGCCAGCCAAGCTCAGCAGAGCCACCTGGCTGACCCTCGGCTCACCCCAGGTATATGTATTAAATGTCCCTATCCCACTGGTCTCTCCAGACAACGTTGGAGTTTAGAGAAGAGAACAGTGGGGCCCAGAGCTCCAGGTTACAGAGGAGCCCTGGGGAGCCCGTGTAGCCATGTCTGGATCTGGGCCTGGGCCCTCTGCTGGGGCGTCCTCTACAAAGCAAGTTAGGCTTTCCTGATCTCTCGTAGTTTCCCCAGGTCTGGAGAGCTCTGATGTTGCAGAGGCTGTTTGGCTGGGTTGGAAAAAAACCTTCATAATTGTCAACAAACTGGCCGGAGCTAGACGTCTGATGGAAAGTGTCATGAGTGGCAGTGAAGGAGGCCAGCTGCTGCTGCCCAGTGCCTGCCTGTAATGATGGATGGGAGGACTGGGGAGGATGGAGACGTTTATGTTTCCAAAGGCTGGGCATTTTCTCCCAGGGCAAGGGGCTAGTGGAAACAGGGTCAGAACAAATCACTTTACATTTTCTCTCTCTATGATTTTTTTCTTCTGACGAGAAATAACTGTTACTCCCAGGGCATGATAGACCAAGGAAACAGTATCAGAACTACATGTTTCTTTGAAAAAATTTTTTCCTCTAAATTTTTAATCTTAATGGGACACTGACCTTTCTGATAAGCTAATGGAAACAATGGACCCATTCCCCAGGAATAATACTTAGAAATACAAAGCTTTACTTATGATGTCAGAGAATTTACAGTTTCTCTGAAACTGATTCATGGGAATTAGATTAGGGGTTTTTAGGGGAGAGAGGGAAACTGGAAGGGAAAAAAGGAAGAGAGAAGTAAAGATGGTATCAGAAAGAAATGGAGAGACTTCGGAAATGATTTGTTGAAGAGTTTTAACCAAAGATTGCTCTACTTCCAAATACATTCCCTCTTCATTCTGCACTAACCCTAGAACCTCTGCTTCTAAAAATCAGTTCTTTCAGTCATATTGTACTTCATGTATCATTCTGCTAATTTGCCATTTTCAGTCAAGTATGTATATTTGAGATTCATTCATGATGATATACATTGATCTAGTTTATTCATTTTAACTTCTAGACAGTGTTCTATGGAATGAATACACAATCTTATTTATCCATCCCCTGATAAATAGACATTTAAATAGTTTACTTTTTCTCATGCTACCAATAGGAAATAGCCTTATACGTGTCTCCTTGTACACAAATGAGAGAAGTTTCTCTATGGACAATATCTAGAAGTAGAATCATGGAGTTACGAGTTTTTAAGTTGTCTAGATACCTTGCTTTGTTCTCTGGATTTTATGCACCAGTTTATAGCTCCCAACAGCAATATCTAAGGGTTGTACCTATTATCCTTTCTAGTGCTTATTGTTTTCTGACTTTTACATTTTAAAATGAATCTGATGAGTGTAAAATAATATACATATATTTGTAAAAATTTATATTTCATTTGCCTCTTTTTTTTTTTTAGCATTTGTGTTTCTCTCCTGCAAATAACCTGTTCATACTCCTTGCCCATTTTTTTCCTTAGTGTATTGAAGGTGATCTCTTCAGGGGTCTTTGTTACTGGTTTCTTTTAGTTTGGCCATAGCTCTGACTCCTTAAAATTTGGAAAAAAAAAAAAAAAACCAAACAGATTAGCATGGTAGAAAAGAAGGTCTGAATGTGGATTTAGGGTATTCGGTTTGAGTCCTGACTCTGATCCTAACTCGTTGTGTGAATTTGCACAAGTTTTTAACCTAAGCCTCTGTCTCCTCTCTTGTAGAATGGGGATAACCATCTCTGCTTCCCAAAGCCAGGGTGAGGCTTAAGCACCTGATGTCTATGAGTGATCAGTAGTTGAGTTGAAGAGCCGAGCTGGAATTGTCTCTGTGTCCAGGTGCCTTCAAATATAGCTGTGAACTTGCCTATGACACAGCCTCCATGAAGGAACTCGCACATCACTGTGGAGCGCAGCTCTCGTATAGGACAGTCCTGCTGTCCTTCAGGCGGTCCTAGGCCTTGACTCATGGCACTGGGGGCCCATACACTTCCCTCAGGGCAGAGCCCATCTTCTCTGCCACGTCCAGAGAAGCCCCATGAGGCCATTACTAACCTGCACATCAGAACAATGGCTTTGGAATGCCAAAGCCAAACTTTTCTCCTTAGATGATGCTAATACCTCATCTAGTGTTTGTTTGTGCTGTGCTAAGTCCCTTTAGTTGTGTCTGACTCTTTACAACCCTATGGACTGTAGCCCACCAGGCTCCTCTGTCCATGGGGATTCTTCAGACAAGAATACTGGAGTGGGTTGTCATGCTCTCCTCCAGGGGATCTTCCCAACTCAGGGATCAAATCCATAGCACTTTTGTCTCCAGCATTGGCAGGCGAGTTCTTTACCACTAGCACCACCTCGGAAGCCCAGTGTTTATCAATTAAAAATTTACAAAGTGCTTTGCTTGTATTGCTCATTGAATTATCATAACATCCCGGTATAGCAATGTTTTATCTCCTTTTTGAAATATACCCCACTCAGCTTCCATGAACCAAAGCTTGTGGGTATCTTCCTATATCACTGGCCATTTCTCAATCTTCTTTTGCTGGTCCTTTGTCCTTCCTCTAATCTCTAAAGTTAAGTGTTCCTTAGAGGGTCTGATGCCTGGTTTCTACCTCCAGAGCTTCTGATTTAGTTGGTTTGGTGGTAGTGTCTGGGCAGTGGCACATTTAAAAAGCCCTTTAGGTAATTTATTGAGCAGCCAGAGTTAAGAACCACCCGTCTATATGCTGAAGCTGTCCCCTTTCAACCTCTATCCCAGCTCTCTTTTGGATCCAGAGAGTCTACTTGGCATGCTCACTTGATTGTCCCCTAGGAATTTCAGTCTTATTTATGTCCCGCACTGAAAACTTGATTTCTTAACTCCACTCCTCTGCTTACTCATTTCTCCCATGTTTTTCATCATCTTAGCAAATAGCATAATGGTTTTTCCAGTTGCTTAAGTCAAAGACCTGGGAGTTGTCTTTGATCCCTTCCCTTTTCCTTCCATCAAGAGGTACTGCTGACTCTACCTCCAAAATTCATTCTTAACTCCCTGTTTTCCTGCCACTGTCTTAGCTAGAATCAGCACCATTATCTCTTTCCTGGATTATTTACTTCAGTGATCTTCACCCATTTTTCTTGCTTTCATTCTTGCTCCTCTCCAAAGCTGTCTCTACAGAGTGTCCAGAGTGATCTTTCAAATCTGAAGTGAAATCAAATTGTTTTGTTTCCCCTCAATCATTTCCCAAGGAGAAGATGCCTTACTATGCCTTTTCAAGGTTCCATGGCTCCTGCTTCTCTCTCCAAGCTCCCTTAGTCCATTCTCCAATCTTACTCATTTTGCTCCAGCTGCACTGGAGTTTTTTCTAGTTTTTGGAACACTTTAAAACTCATTCCATCACATCAGAGCCTGTTTTACTTCTTTTACTTTGATCATTCCTGCTTTAGTCTTTATAGACTCCTTACTCTTCATGTCTCAGCACATCAAGAATCACCTGGCTGGAGAGGAGCAATTATAAATGATATTGTATTTTTAATTTTGGTTTTTATATGTTTATTATTAATATGTAGAAATAAAACTGATTTTTGAATATTTATCTTATATCCTGTCACCTTGCTGAACTCAATTTTTCTAGCTGTATTTTGTAGATTCCTTGGAATATTCTGTGTAGCATATCATGTCCTCTGTAAATATGGGCCATTTTGTTTCTTCATTTTCTCTTTCTTTTCATCAGTATGCTTTTTTATTTTCCCTTCTCCTCTCTCTTCTCACCTTTTTTCTTCTCTTACCTTACTGCACTGGCTAGAACTTCCAGCACTGTATTACACAGCAGTGACAAAAATGGCTGTTCTTGCCTTGTTCACAACTGTCTCACCTTTTTAAACACAAAGTTTTTGCCATGGAGAGACAGAGCATGAGTATTAAAGTTAATCAAACCCGTTGGTCATATAGATCCTATGCACTATGTGATCTTAGAAAATGACTTTTTCTCTCCCCATGTTTTCTCATTTCCAAAGTTGAGATAATAATATCTATGCCTTGGTTTTGTTAGGGAGCAGGCAAAGTGCAGAGGCTATGAGCTGGGTTACCTGGGCTCAGATTCTAGCGTAACCGCTCTCAACTGTGTGACCTCAGGCAAGCTTCTCATCCTCTGTGCCTCAATTTCCTTTTCTGTTATATGGTCAAAATAAGATTAACCGCTTCATCAAGTTGTTGCAGAGATTGAATGAGTTGATAAATATAAAGTGCTTAGTATCTGGCAGTAAGCCAGAAGAGTGTTTGTAGTTTGGCTCAGTGGCAAAGAATCTGCCTGCCAATGCAGGAGATGCAAGAGACATGGGTTTGATCCCTGGGTTGGGAATGTCCCCCGGAGAAGGAAATGGCTACCCACCCCATTATTCTTGCCTGGAGAATCCCATGGACAGAGGAGCCTGATGGGCTACAGTTCATGGAGTCACAAAAGAGTCAGACACGACTTTGTGACTAAACAACAAAATTCACATAACATTTACTGTATTAGCCATTTGAAGTGTACAGTTTGTTGATTTTTAGTACATTCACATTGTTGTGCAGCCATCAACACTGTGTAACTCCAGGACTTTTTCATCACCTGATAAAGAAATCCCATGCCTGTTAAGTAGTCACTCTGTCCTTTGGCTCCTGGCAACCAGCAGTCTACGTACTACATCCGTGGATTTGCTTCTTGTGGCCATGTCATATAAATGGGATCTCATAGTATGTGGCCTTTTATGACTTGCTATTTTCACTTTGTACAGTCTTTTCAATGTTTGTCTGTGCTGTAGCATACATCAATACTTCATTCCTTTTTTTGACTGAATAATAAAAAAATAATAATAGAGTGTGGGTATACCAAATTTGTTTTTAATCTGTTCACTCGTTCATGGACATCTGAGTTGTTTCTACCTTTCGGCTGTTGTGAATAACGCTCCGAAAACATGCATGTACTTGTGTTTATTTGTGTATCATGCTGAATTATATATCTTGTACCCTCGTTCTGAGCTTTTATAACTTTGTCTGATTTTAAATTTAAAAATTGGTTAAAAATATAGAAATAACAGTGTTAAACATATAGGACCATTTATTCCAGTGAATTTGTCGGCTTTTGAATTTTAAAAATGAAATTAGATTTTCTTGGAAAGTTGCAAATTCAACTTGTATTCAATTTTCCTGATTTTGTTCCCTGATGTTAGTGGCTAGCATTCTGCATAGTTCTTGAACTATTATGTGTCAGGTGATTTCCCTAACCCATGAGAAACTCTACTGTTGTTTTGAACTAGTAGAGACTGGCAGATTCTTTACCATCTGAGCCACCAGGGAAGCCCCATTTCCATTTCTGTGGGAGAATAAATTACAAATTTCAACTGATTTGGAAAAATTTTAAACTAATACATTGAGAACTATTGCTATTCACTTGCTCTTTTGCTCTACATTAGTATTATCCCGTTTTTATGCATAAGTCTTCTCTCTTCCTCTACCCTTTTTCACACTTCTGTCAGCTTTCTGTCACAAAATGTGTGCAACCTATGTCTGAGATTACCAAATGTAATTTGATCCCTCTTTCAAGTATTCAGTAGGTGTAATATTTACCCCCATGAAAGTTAATCTTGGATTTGATAGACCATTATTCCTCCTCCTCCAACTTCCAATTTCAGAATAGACACTGGACATTCTCAGTATAGTCTGAACCTTTAACTAATAATGACGATAGTGATAATATGGTAGTGAAAAACCAAGGTCAGACTTTTCATAGGCTCACTTTGTGTTATACATGCTACTCTTTTATCATCCTGAAGAATATTTAGTTTCTTTAAATTTAAAATTAAATCCAAAAATATTGCCTAGTTCTTTTTTAACTACAGAGTACCTCTGCTTGGTTCAAATGGCATTCTGTTTTTNAGCTTTCTTAAAGGTGTGGCCAGCCAAGGTGTGGGCCTTAAAAAAGCTGGATCCATATTTTAGGAGACAACAACCCCTTTGTTGACAGATCATAAGTCAAGAAACAAGTTTAATAAAGAATTTGTGGGAAAACACTATTTTAACATCAGGCTATAAAGTTGGCTCCGGTAGAGTAGGACTTAGGAAGGTTTTTGAACATATTATTGGTTGATATCAGAGGTTGAATTTAAAGGGCTACATTTTTAGATTTATGGAGGAGTATCCAAGCATCATGACCATGGCCCTACTCCAGAGTCCCATGAATCCATTCGTACATTAACATGTACCTACTCGGCTTTCATTGTAGTTCTCTCCTTGTTAATCCCTGTTGTCTTTGAGCTTGAATCACCTCTAGGGACTCTCACACTCTCCCCACCTGGCTGTAGCACTTCTGTTAAAACAACTGGATTATGGGCTCTGGAGCCTGTGTTGTTTCATGCAGTGTCTTTAGACTCCCTATTTGCCTTCTCTTGGTATCCCTATCATTACTTAGGACTTAACTTTTCTCATCTTGGACCCATCCTGTGACCTGTACAGCCTGCTTTATTAAACCAACGACCGACACCGGTTCCTTGGCCGGTGCCTGAGCTGAGTCCACCCCAGTCCTTCTTTGCTCCAACCCATCCCCCTTTCCCTGCCACAGAAAATAGGGCATGTGGCAGGCCCTAACATTAAATCTCCATGCATGTAGAATAATAATTTCTCTTTTTAAAGAAGTATGACCTGAGGGTGAGCCACACCCAGTATGAATTTCTAGAGTGAGGGGAAGTGGGGGTAGATTCTATGTGGAAGTACACCTATAGGGAATTCCCTGATGATCCAGTGGCTAAGACTATGGCTCCCAATGCAGGGGCCTGGGTTTGATCCCTGGTTTGGGAACTGGATCCCACATGCTGCAACTAAAAGATCCTGCATGCCTTAAAGATCCTGTGTGCTACAACTAAGACCTGATGCAGCCAAATTAAAAAAAAAAACACACCTACAAGTTTCAGAAGTAACTTTTGTTTCCATACTCAACACCAATCTCAAGAATTGCTGAACTTAATTTCTTATTTTCTCCTTCTCAATCATTCTGCCAAATAACAGCAGAGATCAATGTGACACTGGCCGCGGGGGAAGGCTGGGTATTAAAGTCAACTTGTTGTGTCTTGCAG